CCCCAACAGACACACACCAGGTAGACAATTATTGTAATGCAAACAGCATGATACTGTTACAACAACTACTTTTTTTGTATTTCTGTACTGACCAGGAAGTCATCAATTCATACTACGTAGTTTTGTGTTCTATCACAAAAGTTTTTAATTCATCTGTGAAGTGGTAGTACATTGACGTCACTCAGGTAACACAACAAAAAATGATAGTACTTCTTTAATAGAAAACAATGAATCTGTCAGCATACTGTACACCATAGGTGGCTGAATGAATGCAATTACCAAAAGTGGTATATTGTCCTCTCTATCCGAGCAGGCGAGTCACTAATACAGGCCTATATATGATGGGTCATCCATCCCCATCTGCAAGGTATGGATTCTCTGATTGGCCAAGTGAAATTTAAAATTTACTTGCCCTGTGGCAAGTGACATTTTGAAAAAATTCTCGAGCCCTGAGGAAGTAAATAAAGCCCAAATTCAGGATTGAATACACCATATCCCGGGTACACCAAAACACACTGTTCAGTCTGATTATAAACTCATACATTCAGTCAGCATTCTCACTGAGCAGTATAACAGGTATAGCGCCCCCAGGCAATAATAGCGCCCTCATTTTTTGGGAGATTGCTTAGATCAGGGATAGCCTTAATCCTATATTCTGCTTCCCGCACTCCAATATAAACAAGCAGCCTATCGGCTGAGATAGCTCCGCTGTTAACAATGCACATTTCAATTAAAGAACTGAAGACATCATTAGAAAATGAACAATATGAATAGTATCAAAGCAATCGGACTTACAGTTTTTAACAAGTCGAAAATATCACTTTTTACCAAAAAATTACAAAAATATTCACCAAAATAAATTAATTAGAGAATTGAAGATATCATCACAAAACGAACAAATCTGAGAGAGGTCCACATGTAGTACCTATATATGTAATATCAAAGCAATCGGACTTACAGTTTTCAACAAGAAGTCGAAAATATCACTTTTTACCAAAAATGACAAAAATATTCACCAAAATTAGAGAATTAAGATATCATCAAAATGAACAAATCTGAGAAGAGGTCTACATGTAGTATCTATATATGTAATATCAAAGCAATTGAACTATTGGTTTTTAACAAGAAGTCGAAAATATCACTTTTTACCAAAAATGACAAAAATATTCACCAAAATTAGAGAATTAAAGATATCATTACAAAATGAACAAATCTGAGAGAGGTCCACATGTAGTACCTATATATGTAATATCAAAGCAATTGCACTTGCGGTTTTTAACAAGAAGTCGAAAATATCACTTTTTACCAAAAATGACAAAAATATTCACCAAAATTAGAGAATTGAAGATATCAACATGAAATGAACAAACCTCAGAGAGGTCTATCCAAGGTACATATACACCAAGTATCAAAGCATTCAGGCTTGTAGTTTTCAAGAAGAAGTCGAAAAAGTAAAACATTGACACGAACGCCGCCGGACAATCACTCATATGATAAGTTCCGCTCGACAAAGTCGACAGCGAAGCTAAAAAGCAACGTATTTATAACTGTTTTGGCATTGAAACAATTTCTCAAGGGCGTTTTTCAGACAATAAACTTCTTTGGGATTCACAACAAAGTAACACAGTTAGGGTTGAAAATGTTTTTAATTGTCTTCGTTTGATCTTGCATGCACGTTCTATGATTACGTCTATTTTGAGTAAGACCTATATTACTAACCTGTATCCCAAGATGTAATGTGATCAGGTGCAGGAGCAAGTCCACTCCAATGTTTCTGTAAATTTGTAGGTTGTGGAACATACGTATCCACAATAGACAGTTGACTGTTAAGTTCATTGTGATAGTCAGCGACAAGTGAAGTTATCTCTTCCCGTTTACATACTCCTTCATTCTGACAGGTAAAATATAACAATAATTAGTTTGGATATCTGTAGCTATGCCAAATAAACATATTCATTTGAAAAAATCAGAGAAATAGATTTTGAATAGAAGTTGTCTTGTTTATTCCACAAATTTGAATTATCAAATTGTTATCAGCAGCATCTCCACTACTTTCAACCATATCAATACACAGTGATCAGGTGATATAACATTAAACCTTTACCAAAGTGTGTATTCTAGTATATATATCACATAAAATAACCCCCAAAATTTTAACATCAGTGTAAACTAAGAACAGACTTCTCAAAGTAGAGTGAACCAAGTGAGTATTGGTCACCAAATCCGGGTGGAGAATAACGCACTGGAGAGGAGCACTTGTAGCTAAGATGTTTATTGCTCAACTGCTAAGCCTGGAACTGAGCCTAAATACTCACCATATGTTCCATACAATGTATCAATATCATTATGCAAATAACTAAACTATTAAAACGTCATAGCCTCAAATTATTACAATCAGCAAATAATAGAACATGTACATCAATAATGCAACTAGTATAATTCGCAAATAAAGTCCTAGCATGGTGTTGAAATGTACGAGAAGATAAATACAAAAGGGATTTTCTCACCACTAGACGATTTAGATACACATCAGGTACGTTATCACGACTCTTAATCACATCATACATTATCGGCTGCGTGAATGATGGATCATCCAGTTCATTGTGCCCCCATTTTCGATAACACACAAGATCCACAACAACATCTTTGCCAAAGGTACGTTGGTATTCCATGGCTAATTTGCAGGCTTTCACCACTTCCTGATAAAAAGGAGCATCAAAGAAAAGCTTAGTAACTCCTGTGTGAAATATTCAAGATTACGCAGTTTAAAAAGAAGCCATGTTCTTTGAGATGCACAATGTGAAAGTAATCTAAATCACAGAATCGGTAATATACTACCGGTAACAGAAACTAATAACTAGAAATGTGGTTTGTGGTCTGTAAAACATCCTAGTACCAGACTTATTTAAATTAGTTAAGTAGTTTTGTAATATTGTAAAACAATTGATTTTAGCTGGAATTAATTTTTGCTGAAAAGACTTTTAGGGTGTTTTGTATGGAATTTATCTTTTCTTATTTTTGATGACTTTCAGCTGAAATAGTTCTGCTATTAGCAATGAACATTTCAATTAAAGAATTGAAGATATCACAAAAAGAACTAATCTGGGAGAAGTCTACCTGAGGTATCTATTTGTATTATATCTAAGCAATCAGACTTGCTGTTTTCAACAAGTAATCGAAAATATCACCTTTTATTAAATATTACAAAAATATTCATCAAAATTAGAGAATTAAAAATTGATTGTATTCCATGGTAATAACAACAAACATTCTATTAACGCTTGCCTCAATCTCACCTCTGGAAAATCTCCATTCACATGTATCACTGGAACACTGATCATTTTAGAAAGATCACTGCAATGAAGCGATGAGCGCGCTCTTTCACCAGTCGTGGTAAACCCAAGTTGATTGTTGATGATCAGATGGAGACTACCACCAATTCTGAAATGTGGGCAGTACGCCATATTGAATGTCTCGGCAATGACGCCCTACAAAAAAATACATAAAAATAAAAATTATTTTATGTCAGTCACTGTACCGGTATATTACACCAATCACCATTCTTGCCTGCTAGAGGAAATATCATTAAAATAAAGTTTGTATGCAAAAATGTTAAAACTTTTGGGAAATCTTTTTGCAAAACAATGTTGTACATATTATTTTGATTTCAGCCACACTAATATTTAGACATACACCAATACAGTGTTCCTAAAATCCAGAGTAATTACCAGGGTAGGTTGTCAGACCAATCTGAAGCTTGAGATCATTAAAAAAACAGTTTGTTCATTTGCATATTTAGGGGCAGATCAAATTAATTCTTATGATTCCCAATATATATGCACACCAAAATCCAAGTCACTGAACCAAATAATAAACGACCAGTCCACTTAGCTATGAGTTAGATATATATAGATACCTGCCACAATACAAAATACTTCGACCATTGAGTGATTCACTTAAATCTTTTGATTAAACAAAACACTGTATTTTGAAAATAAAATGACTGCTTCATTTTTATAACACATTATTAACATTACATCCTTGTCATTTCTACATATTCAATACATAACACTTTGATCCTTGAGTGATCAAATCTACTTTAAGATTGCGACTGATTGGCTAATCAAAAAGCAGCTTGCTTGTTGACAATTTTTTTGGCATATCAAATTCTGCCTTGAAGAAATTTTTTGATTACGTGATTTTATTTTGGGAATAAACTATTAAAAAAACAACATATAACTCACCTGCCCAGCAAATGCAGCATCTCCGTGTATTTGTAAAGCTAACACTTTATTCACAGAATTATCGTCACTATTCTCAGCATAATCACCAATTTTCAAAGACTGTTGCCTTGCTCTAGCTTTTCCTACCGTAACAGGAACGACAGCCTGAATATCATAAAATAAACCCAGATTTACCCAATATTACATACACTCCTGTAAATATAAGTCCTATCAATAATTTTTACCACAGGGAGTAATTTTTAATATTTTTCGTAATAATCCATTTTTCCTACTCATTGTGAAATACTCATGCTTAAAATGCATTTTAATTAAAATTTGGATATTTAATGATAATGAGTATGACAATATTTAAGGGCATTTTGTTTGCAAGTGCAACATTTCACTTAAAAAAAATATATTCCCTTTCACAAAATTTTATGCATGGAAACTTCAATTTGTTCACCTGAAAAAGTGCATCAACAACCTATATCATAATAGCACTAAAAAAAATTAAGTATCAAATATTAATACATAGCAAAAATTATGTTTCCAGTTGACTTACCTCAAGATGAGATGGATTTGGAACCATTGAGACATGTAGAGACTTATCACCGAATTCCAAATCAACAGAGTTAGCTGAAAGAACAAATAACAATGCATATTTTCATATATTCAAATATATTTGACTTTAACACATGATAAATTCATGTTCTGTTAACCTTTAACCCAGAAGGCTTTTCAGTTGAATTACCAAATCTGATACACCAGTGTGTACATGAACAAATTTCCATTTTTTATGTTTGAGTATTTTGATCCAGGCCTTGAGGAAAATTACAAAACAATTTAATTTTTTTTTTTTTAAATATGTGGTTACAAGGTGTAAAAAAACTGAAGGAGAGATCACCAAGGATTTGTGTATTCTAGTTTACAAATCACTCATACATATAAACTGACAGACGAACACATCTCTGAAGATCAATCAAAAGTTTTTGCAATCATATTTTGGAATGTAATTTAATTTCAATTAAACTGCAATTGAATTACTGTTTTATATCCCTGTTAGTTATCAAATTTCAGATATATATAATATAGTTTGAACATAACCATGACAGAGATATAGATCCAGATGCTTGATTATGATGATTTTTTAAAATTAAAATGATCGACATTCAGTCATCTTGAATCTGATCATCAACTGGGTACTTGTCCTGTTGAAAAATATTGTACTGGAACAGCATTAATTAAAATGAAATGGTCACCAGTCGCTCGTTTTGAATTGGATCTGTATATCTATGACATCATGTATAATGAATATATAAAATTTGACAAAGCATGTCAGAGATATGGCACTACAACCTCATTCATTAAAACAAAATGACCGCCAGTCAGCCATTTAGCAAAATCAACTCACCATCTATACTTACTTAGATGAGAAAGAACATCGCCAGACGCATGGACACCGTCAGGAAACTCACTAAGTCCTTTCATTTTCCTAAACATGAGAGCCGGTGGAAATTTCAACAGTCCTGTCAGTAAGTTATTACGACCTCTGTGTGCCATGCAAATTAAAACATGTTCTATACCAGCTGTGAGATAAAAAAAAAAATTGTTAGAAGCCAACATATATTTCCCTTTTGACCCTTTAAATGAATGACACATGTGAAACAATGACATCATAGTTGAGTAAAAATATATGAATTTGACATTAGGACCCTTATGAACTCTGATCTCTTGTAGATGAAATCTGATCTGAAAAACTATGACGTGCACCAGAAATGCTTGATTTCAATGATTTTTCAGCACAAAAATGGCCGTTATTTGGCCATCTTGAACCAGATCATGAAACAAATTTATATGCATATGTATAATAGTATGTATGATGAATGTGTGGAGTTTGAATGTACCAGGTAATCGGTCCAGGCATGTCTATGATGTAGGGTCAGACGCACACACGGACACACAGATGCATGGACACACAGAGGATTAGTATGGATTGACATCCATACGTCCCTGTTTTCAGACTGCGTATGAATAGGGACTAAACAGTGAACTCAACATTGCAGACATAATTGTGAAAATTGAAGTAAATAAATTTGTTAAATTTGATTAAACAACTTTAGGCACCATGACTTTGTATGAAGGTATAGACTTATTTTAAAGTAAGATTACAAACACTATAGTGACAGTATAGACGAATGGCTATTCAGTACAACTATGTGTGCTTTGATATTTAATCACTAGTAAAGTAGATTGTTGTTTGGAGAAAATCTATCAAATAATATCATTGACAATTAAACAGCACTTTCATAGACTTAATCAAAATAAAAAGCCTCTCGGTCAGCAGAGGTAAAAATCTTGAAAACAATATGCAAATTTTCTCACCAAGCCACATTTGGAGATATTGAGAAACATGAGAAACCCTAACCCTATTTCTGTTAATTTTGTTCAATTTTCTCCAAATGTGACCTTCCCTTTTTATTATTTTTTTTATATTTCTTCTTGGTATGAAACCAGTCAAGGAGTCTAAGATCACATGTATGACTTACAATGTGCTGCTTCAGTAAATGACTGTTGAAGAAATCCTATCATGCTCTCTGCTCCTTCCCCACCATATCGCTTCACTGTGGTAAACTTGGCAGCCAAGAAATGATCTAACTCCTGTTCAGTGAGAGAAATTACAGGAGATTTATCATGTGTTACACTATAACACCAGATTTATAAAGTTGTTAAAGCGAGAGGGTCGTCGCCTGCGCATGCGCAGGAATTGAGTCCCAAGCAACAATAACAACACACGCTAAAAACGCAAAGGCTCATGGGTAGACGCTTGTTTGTAAACAATGACATGCTATGATCGTCTGATGCATGCGCAGGTGACTACTCCCTCGCTTTAAGTTGTTTTTGCTATAAAAATATGAAATATTAAAAATACACATTTCAATTTGAGAGTACAAAGGTTCTTACCCCTCAGACAAACTAACCTTCAATGACAAACAAAACCTCCTAACACAGCGAGTGTATATTGTTTACAAATCTGATGGCATTCAAATCTGTATTCAAATACATTTATCATATGTAATATTCATAAAAATTCAATAGACCATTTCACTCACAATATTTTCAACATTATTTATGTATGATGAGAGATATCGCTGAGGTCATAGATATAAATTCCCCTTTATACGTATCATGTATCTATATGTATCAGAGATATCACTGGGAACAAAAAGATATTACTGGGGACAAAATATATCACTGGGAACAAAAAGATATCACTGGGAACAAAAAGATATCACTGGGAACAAAAAGATATCACTGGAAACAAAAAGATATCACTGGGAACAAAAAGATATCACTGGGAACAAAAAGATATCACTGGGAACAAAATATATCACTGGGAACAAAAAGATATCACTGGGGACAAAATATATCACTGGGAACAAAAAGATATCACTGGGGACAAAATATATCACTGGGAACAAAAAGATATCACTGGGAACAAAAAGATATCACTGGGAACAAAAAGATATCACTGGGAACAAAAAGATATCAATGGGAACAAAAAGATATCAATGGGAACAAAAAGATATCACTGGGAACAAAAAGATATCACTGGGAACAAAAAGATATCACTGGGAACAAAAAGATATCACTGGGAACAAAAAGATATCAATGGGAACAAAAAGATATCACTGGGAACAAAAAGATATCACTGGGAACAAAAAGATATCACTGGAGTGGAAAGATATCACTGGGAACAAAAAGATATCACTGGGAACAAAAAGATATCAATGGGAACAAAAAGATATCACTGGGAACAAAAGATATCACTGGGAACAAAAAGATATCACTGGGAACAAAAAGATATCACTGGGAACAAAAAGATATCACTGGAGTGGAAAGATATCACTGGGAACAAAAAGATATCACTGGGAACAAAAAGATATCAATGGGAACAAAAAGATATCACTGGGAACAAAAGATATCACTGGGAACAAAAAGATAT